CTTAGCGATGTTTAGCGCCTCCATGAAATCCTCCGCCGACGCCTCTGACAGGATCTGGAGGTCAGTGCCGAAGCCTTTCCTGCCAATCGCCGCCCGAGTGCCTTTCAAGAGCCGCAGCCGGCGGATCACGTCGCCGAAGACAGCAATGATCTCTGGCGAGCTGAAGCGGCTCTGGCAGGCTGCCTCGTAGGGCTCCTCGTCGGTCGCGAGAGAGTACTCGAGCTCCTCCAGGTTGATCAGGCGCCGTGCGACCTCGAAGGACTAAGAAACGAGACACTGCTATGAAGACATGTAGGTCCAAACGCAACCTTGCGTTCAATGGATGTATGTCCAAACGAGACACTGCTATCAACATGTGTAGGTCCAAACGAGACACTGCTATCAACGCATGTAGGTCCAAACGGAACAGTGCTATCAGTGGGTGTAGATCAAAACGAGACACTGCTATCAACAAATGTAGGTCCAAACGAGACACTGCTATCAACGCATGTAGGTACAAACAAGACACTGCTATCAATGGATGCAGGTCCAAACGAGACACTGCTATCAACACATGTACATGTAGGTCCAAACGCAACCTTGCTATCAATGGATGTATGTCCAAACGAGACTCTGCTATCAACACATGTAGGTCCAAACGAGACACTGCCATCAACGCATGTAGGTCCAAACGGAACAGTGCTATCAATGGATGTAGGTCCAAACGAGACACTGCTATCAACACATGTAGGTCCAAACGAGACACTGCTATCAACGCATGTAGGTACAAACGAGACACTGCCATCAATGGATGTAGGTCCAAACGAGACAGTGCTATCAACACATGTAGGTCCAAACGCACCACTGCGAACAACACATGTAGGTCCAAACGAGACAATGGGATCAGTGGGTGTAGATCCAAACGAGACACTGCTATCAACACATGTAGGTCCAAACGAGACACTGCTATCAACGCATGTAGGTACAAACAAGACACTGCTATCAATGGATGTAGGTCCAAAGGAGACTGCTATCAACACATGTAGGTCCAAACGAGACACTGCTAACAACACATGTAGGTCCAAAGGAGACGCTGCCCAAACGCAACCTTGCTATCAATGGATGTATGTTCAAACGAGACACTGTTATCAACACATGTAAGTCCAAACGAGACACTGCTATCAACACATGTAGGTCCAAACGGAACAGTGCTATCAATGGATGTAGGTCCAAGCGAGACACTGCTATCAACATGTGTAGGTCCAAACGAGACACTGCTATCAACACAAGTAGGTCCAAACGAGACAGTGGTATCAGTGGGTGTAGATCCACACGAGACACTGCTATCAACACATGTAGGTCCAAACGAGACACTGCTATCAACGCATGTAGGTACAAACAAGACACTGCTATCAATGGATGTAGGTCCAAACGAGACACTGCTATCAACACACGTAGGTCCAAACGCGACACTGCGAACAACACATGTAGGTCCAAACGAGACACTGCGATCAATGGATCGACTCCTCTATCAACACTGGTAGCATAGGTAGTATTCCTGGGGAAGACCTGTTCGAACACCATGGGCCGCTCCCGCTCGAGGTTCGGCGCGCCGCCCCCGAACCAGAACTCTGTGTAGCACGCCGGCCAGGACCTGCTGTCGAAAGAACTCAAGGGTTTCTGCGTAGGCACCGATAAGGAGTGCGGGCCCACAGCCCTGCACGCGTCTGCTCCTGCTTGCGCTTTCTCCAGCACCACCTGCGCTCGCTCGTCGAACGAACGAGCAGCACTCTGTACATCGAGAACCATGCTGCGCATCGTATGCCTGCCGCCCTCGTCGGCAACAGGCTGAAGAGCACCGCTGCTGTCTGCCACTGTCGGTGTCACCTCGTTCTTGGCGATGCGTGCTGCCTGCTCCTGCAGCGCCACCAGCGTGCCTTGCAGCGCTTGCATCATTCGGACTGGAGCGATGTCATGCACTGGATCCACTGCAACTGTGAACTCTGCCACATTCTCATGCAGGTAGGCCATGTCAGGCTGTTCTGCTGCTTCTCCGTCTTTGTCTGTCTCTTTCTCCTCGTCAGACTCGTCTCCCGCCTCGTCGTCTCTGCCCACTTCCGGCGCCCTGGATGCTGGCCCCAACAGACGTACCGGGGCTTTGTCCGCACCGTCCACTGGTTGCAGACAGGCTTGGATATGGTCTGGCACGCCGTCCTCCGGCAGTCGTGTCGGGGCAACATCCTCCCGGACGGATACCTCGGAAAAGGTTGCGCACTGCTGCTTGCGCTCCCTCACGATCTGCATATACTCGCCGCGCTTGACTGTTGCCCAGTGCGCCTTGTGGAGTTTGTGCGCGGCGCCCGAGAAAACGATGTTCAGAGAGTCCACAAGCGCGCCCTGCTCCGGGGGCAGCTCCATGGTCGGGATTTGCGCCGTGGGCTGGGCGAAGAGGATAGTGTTGCCCGAGATGCCTTTCTGCTGGACATCTGGAGCGCCCTTGCCGAGGCGGACTTGCTTCCAACAGCATCGGCCAAGGGACGCCAGCATCTTAGTAGCCTCCGAAGCGTTGCGGACGAGCATGAACTCCCGGCCGATCCAGTTGTCGTTGACCAGTGCGTTTAACGGCATCTTCGGTTTCTTGGCGCACAAATCATTCAGGCAATCCCAACAGACCCACACCAACGCGTTGGGATCACCCACCCCTGCGCACGGAGGCCTGTCGTCTGCAGGCTGAGAACATCCGTCGGGCCTGTCGGGAGCAGGCTGAGAAGCACCGCAGGTGCCCGTCGTTGCTTCTGGTGGTGCAACCACAGGGACTCGACGGGAGTGCAGCAACCATCGCCACTCTGGGTGCTCCGGGTGCTGAACGCTGGAGGCGTGCAGCTGTTCGTACGGGATCAAAGGCCACCGATGCCTGTACCTGTCCACGTCCAGGAGCTTCTGCACGATCTCTGGGGACTGCAAGTAGTACACCCCGCGGTGCTTCACCAGGGTCCGCGCGGGTCGGGCATTGGTCTCGCCCTGAGACACGTCGTCCTGGTCGCTTGCAGGGTCCGCGGCGTGCTCGGGTACATACTCCTCCGGCACTGCGCCAAAGAGGCTCAGTTTGTGGCGGTGCTCGAGGTAATCTTTCTGCGCACAGACTACGCAGGCTGCTTCGCATCGGGGCACTGGATCGTTGCCCGAGAAGCGGTTGCATTTGCTGCCCCGGTGACAGAACTGCTGGAAGTGAGCAAAATTTTGCACCATGATCCTCTTTTCCTGCCCAGTTATCGGCCTGCAGCCGGCCTCCGCCATCAGGAACAGCACCCGTTTGCGGTATTCAGCCTCGCCCGCGTGGTTGTGCTGCTTGCGCCGCGCAAAGTCCTCCTCTGTTAAGAAGTCGCAGTCGCAAAGCTGGCACACAAGCGGGCCCGTCATGACGGGGCGGTTGGAGAAGACGCGCAGCTGGTCCCCCTCCACCTCGCCGCCGGGAACGTAGCAGCTCTTCCCCGCGGAGGCGGCCGACGCCCTGCGCACTCGCTCCGCGTACCGTTGCGCGAATTTCTTGTGCTGCGCAGGCTGAGTAGCACCGCGGCTGGACACAAGCTCTTTGTAGGTGGCCAGGCGCCGCAGGATTGCCTTGGTCCGGATGCCACTCTCGAGCATGAGCAGGTCCTGGTCGATCCTGTTCTGCGCTTCCTCAGCGAACCCTTCCATGGGGTTTGGAAGATCTTCCGCCTCCGCGATGCGAGCGGTTTTTGTGGCTTCACTCTCCTTCTGCTGGAAGGCCTGGAGCTCGGCCTGCTGCGCCGGGGAGAACTGGTTGGCCCTCTGTGCTTTCCGGACTTGCCAGCCCAGCTGCCGCTCTGCGAAGCTGCGCCCGGCGGACTCCTTCGGATAGCGTCCGAGGTCTTGCACCTGCTGCATGAGCTCCTCGATCTTTGTCTGCTGCAGGAGCTCGTCGGGATTCGTGTCCGCCTGCTGGAGAGCCAGAAGCTCGGCCTCCTGCTCTGGAGAGAACTGGTTGGCCTTCCGTGCTGTCCGGACTTTCCAGCTCAGCTGCCGCTCTGCGAAGCTACGCCCAACGGACTCCTTCGGATAGTGTCCGAGGTCTCGCACCTGCTGCATGAGCTCCTCGATCTTTGGATTCGTGTCCGCCTGCTGGAGAGCCAGAAGCTCGGCCTCCTGCTCTGGAGAGAACTGGTTGGCCTTCCGTGCTCTCCGGACTTGCCAGCCCAGCTGCCGCTCTGCGACGCCACGCCCGGCGGACTCCTTCGGATAGCGTCCGAGGTCTCGCACCTGCTGCATGAGCTCCTCGATCTTCGTCTGCTCCCTGAGCTCGTCGGGCTTCGTGTCCGCCTGCTGGAGAGCCAGGAGCTCGGCCTCCTGCTCCGGGGAGAACTGGTTGGCCTTCCGTGCTTTCCGGACTTGCCAGCCCAGCTGCCGCTCTGCGACGTCACGCCCGGCGGACTCCTTCGGATAGCGGCCGAGGTCTCGCACCTGCTGCATGAGCTCCTCGGTCTTCGTGTCCGCCAGCTGGAGGGCCCGGAGCTCTGCTTCCTGCTCCGGGGAGAACTCCTTGTTCTTTCGTGCTTTCCGAATTTTCTCTCCCATCTGCCGCTCTGCGAAGCCACGCCCACCATACTCCTTCGGGTAGCGGCCGAGGTCCCGCACCTGCTGCATGATCGCCTCGGTCTTCTGTCTCCGCTTGAAGTCTGCATTCTGCTGCGCCTTCTGCTGGGCGAGAGCTCCTGCTCCCGCTGCCACAGCAGGCTGAGAAGCACCGCTGCCTTTCGCAGCAGTGTGAGAAGCACCGCCGCCTGCATCCACTCTGATCGCGCTGGCGCTGGCTTGCGCTTGTCTGCTGGCGCCGGCGCTGGCACCAGAGTGTTCGGGGTGAGGCCTCGTGGCAGGCTGCAGCGCGAGGAGCTGCGCTTCCTGCTGTCTGTTCAGCGTCCCTGCTTTCCGTGCTCTGATGAGGCCCGCGGCAAGCCGCTTCTCCTCGGCGCTCGAGCGGCTCGATTGGGTAGGCAAATGGCCTAGCTGCAGAATCGCATTGACGAGTTCCTGCGTGGCGGGCTGAGAAGCACCGCCATCACCACCGGCCAATGCAGCTTGCAAACGGTTGCCGCCACTGCCACGGACAGCTCCGCCTGAGGCGGGCGCGACTCCCGGCATGCGCACCCAGACGCCGCCGCGGCCCAAATCGGAACGAGCCACAAAGGCACACTTGAGCCAGTGCTATCAATGATTTTAATGCTATCAACGCACGGAGCTTGAATGGATGCATGTCCAAACGAGACACTGCTATCAACGCACGGAATTTAGATGGATGTGTGTCCAAACAAGACACTGCCGTCAACGCACGGAGCTTGAATGGGCGCATGTCCAAACGAGACACTGCTATCAACGCACGGAACTTGAATGGATGCATGTCCAAACGAGACACTGCCATCATCGCACGGAGCTCGAATGGGTGTACGTCCAAACGAGACACTGCTATCACCGGATTCAAATGCAAACGACACACTTCCATCAATGTTTTTAGTTTGGAGCGAGACATTGCTATCAATACTGGAGTTGTCTGCAAACGAGGCACTTCCGGCCGCCGCAGCACCGCCGCATCTAGAAAAGGAGCTGCGGGCTGAGAAGCACGGCAGGCTAAATTCAAGCAGTCGTCGCGGCGAGGGCAGCCGCCGCAGGGGCTCGCCGGCAGCCGCAGCAGCAGCTTGGGCACGCATCCTCGCACCCACTGTTGCGCGGTAGTTGTGAGCGCAAACAAAAACTCTGCGCAGGTACTCTCCAGAGCAATGGCAGGGTGAGAAATACTGCAGCCCGCAGGGAGCAATCTTGCACAAGTCTCCACAGGGCTGAGAAGCACCGCAGGCGAATGCAAGTCAACGAAGGCTGGAACGAGATACTTGAGGCAAACATCGCTGGCAGCCCGCAAGGCGAATCCAAATCCGCCGTGCAAGCAGCGAAGAAGCGCGAGGCACATGATGCGCAGCAAGCTGAGAAGCATCACTGACAAGACATGAGCAACTCATTTCAAGCTTTATCCTGACGGGTGGCCTTCAAGGATTCTGCACTTCTTGGCGGAGTCGGGCGTCTTGCTCCACTCATTAATCCGCTTGTGGTCGCCAGATTGCTGGAGCTCTGTGCGCATCCCCAGTGTCCTTAATTTTTTGATGAAGTACTGCGCCTCGGTCACTGCGGAATCGTCTATGTGGGTTACGCTGTGCACCGTGATACCATCTTTTGAACAGCCTGTAATGAGCAACAGGCAGACTCTGTGCTTCGCTCTGTTGGGCGGGTCCATTTTGAACGAGAGCAAGTTGTCTACGGAGCAATAGCCGTGAATCGTCACCGCGTGTGAACTCTCATCGCCACAGGCGTCCGTGACACCTGGTGTAGAGACGACGAAGCCACCCGCAGTGGACACGCACCGCGACTTCTGTGTGTTGCGTACAAGAGCCACTGCCACGTGGCAGTTCCGGGCAAGCTGAGAAGCGCCACCCCCGCCACCCGCCAGGGGATACTCCACGCGCATGCCGTAGAAGGGGCAGGGGCGCATCTCAGAAAGGTGCGCCGCGAGCATAGCATCCTGGCTCTCGCGGCACTGCTTCAGGATCTCCAAGACGACATTGTAAGAGGCATTGGGGGCGTGCGATATCTGGAGCGGCGATACCGCAACCACAGTCGTGTTAACGAAAGTCCGCTCAGGCGCATCCCCCTCTCCATTCGCAGCCACATGGCGCACGCGTCGTAGTATGCGGCAATTGCTGAAAGGAGGCAAGGAGATAGCACTCTCATCGTGAATCTTCTTAAACTCCGCCATGGTATCAATGCCGGTCAAGGCGAAGGCTGCCGCTTGGGATACGCCAACTTTGCAGGAGCCACTGAAATCGCGGGCGGTAGTGGTGAAGAATACGCGTTCGCCTTTGCTCTCCAGCACAGAGTCAGCGGGTTCTGGCTCCTCGAGTCTCATGCTATTGACCTGCAACAAGAGTGGCAAGCTTGCGGTTGGGTCTTCCGACGCCATCGCCAGAAAGGCACAGCAGGAGAGGAGCGCGTCTCCGGTGAGAACCTGTGAAGCGTAGTCTGGGTCCCATGTGGTCGCATGGGCGGTGGTCAGCTGCTCCCGGTCCTTGGCGAAATCTTCATTCGCCGCTAGGTCGTTGAGTTGGATCATTCTGGGGCAAGAGCATGCATAATCCACCACGCGATCCTGCGACAGGTTAAGCTCCAGTTTGCCGTCGAATTTGGCCGCTACGTTGAGAAACAGCAGCGGTTGTCCTTTGTGAGTCCGACAAAGCTCTATGTTGGCTGTTCCCCAGACAGCAACCACAGCCTCCGCTGTCTTGGAGTTGGTCGTCTGGGTGCCGTCCACCAGGTGTACACTAGCCACTGGTGGATGGCCCATGGGAGTGCGTGTGTCTGAAACGGAATGAACCACAGCCATGACGTCGAAGCAGCGCTGCGACTTGATGTTCATCATGTCTGCCACTGTCGTCTGCGGAGCCGGCGCCGATGCCAAGGTGGCTTCCTCCTGAGAGCTACTGAGGATAGGAGTGCACACTGTGCGCTTGAGGTCGACCACGACACGAACAGACGTGTGCACAAAAGCGTCCTGCTGCTGGCTGCCCAGACCGACCTTGGAGAGTTTCCACGCTGTGAGTGGGAAGAACTTCTTGAGAGCACCTTCGATTTCTGCTGTAGTTCCTTTGAGGATCGCCTCGCAATAGTGCTCTGAGTCCGTGCCAAGCAAAATGCACGTGAATCGGCTTGCATTAACCTGCTGGCCATTGCGTCTGCTCTTGTACGAGTACTTGATCTCCCTGGGCTTGTACACTCGAACAGGAAGTCTTGGGATTTAGCGCTGCTCTTCGTGAGACTACCCAGTGGGGACGTTGGCTGGTCTGCGGCAGCAGCCATGATAGCTCACCTTGAGGATCACCGTGGAGTGCACAGTGACACAGGCTGAGAAGCACCGTGCAAAGCACGATGCACACAGGGCGTGTAGCACCGTGCAGGGCACGGTGAGACTGGGCGAGCAAGACCGCACAGGGCACGGTGGCGCGTCCGATGGCAGACGCGCAACAGAAGGAGGCTTTGCAACCAGAACGGCAATGGTTAGAACACAGTGCTATCAACGCACGTCGCTCGAATGGATGTATGTCCAAACGAGACACTGCTATGAACGCACGGAGCTCGAATGGGTGCACGTCCAAACGATACACTGCTATCAACGCACGGAGCTTGAATGGATGTATGTCCAAACGAGACACTGCTATCAACGCACGGAACTTGAATGGATATATGTCCAAACCAGACACTGCTATCAACGCACGGAGCTTGAATGGATGTATGTCCAAACGAGACACTGCTATGAACGCACGGAACTCGAATGGGTGTACGTCCACACGAGACACTGCTATCAACGCACGGAGCTTGAATGGATGTATGTCCAAACGGGACACTGCTATCAACGCAAGGAACTTGAATGGATATATGTCCAAACGAGACACTGCTATCAACGCCCGCAGCGCACCCCCTTGTGTTATGTGCGTGTGTGTATGGGTGTGCTGTGTATGCTGTGTGGTGTGCCATGTTGTTTTGTGATGTGCTGCGGCACTGTGTGTGCGTGCTATGTGCTGCGGCACTGTGTGTGTGTGCTGTGTGCTGTGCGTGCTCTGTGCTATACTGTTCATGTCCGCGTTGATGATCGAAGGGAACAGTGGACGTGGGTGAAGACGAGAATCTGGCATCAATGTATGATTTTTCTGGCAGGGAGTCACGGCCCAGAAGAGTCGAAGTGTCTGCGCAGAAGACAGCGCTGCCCCATCAGCACCGACGTGTCTAGAAAAGCTCGAAGTGCATGCGAAGAAGACAGTGCTGCCCCATCAGCACAGACGCGTCTAGAAAAGCAACCGCGGGCTGAGAAGCACCGCGGGCTGAGAGGCACCGCGGGCTGAGAAGTACCGCGGGCAAAAGTGGGCAAACGCTTCAGCGGCTCGCCGCCTGCCGCGACAGCATCTTGGGCACCCACTCCTGCACCCACTGCAACGTGTTATTCTTGCGCTCATTCCAGAAGCACAACATTGCGGATATCGTGCAGACAGGAACCGACTTGCCATTACCGCCGGAGCCCAGTGTCAAAGAGATCGCTTTCAAAGCCTGCTGTTCGCGAAGTTTCGTGGTCATGCCGGGCATGATCTTTCGCAAGGCAAGGCAAGATCCGCGTGGAACCGGCCACCGACCAGACAAAGCCAAGAGATCACCAGGCAGCAAACGCGGCACTGTCAGTTTGGAACTGAGCCCAGCCAGCATGGTGATTTCCAGGATTCGTTTGCACTTGTATGCCCCGCATCCATCGACCTTGAATTCGCGCTTGCTTGCCACTTGGAAAACTACTTGAGCAAGGCTGAGCAGCACCTGTCGCCGCTGGGCCGTCTGCAGGGAGGGCGTGCATGAGGAGAGCAGTTGCGCCATCTTGTTGCCGACGACGCGCATGAACTCAACAAGCTGCGCTGCAATGTTGCCGCGACAGATCTTCCCCGGGTGCTGGCCGCCACGGTGCGCGACCTCCGCAGTGTCGAGGTAATGCCTGAAACCTTTCAAGTCGTTTTGAGCTAGGTCTGGCGCTGCAGCATCCACGGTCGCTGCCAAGCCCGCCATGGCAGCAACGTAGATCAGACGCACGAGGTGGCGGGAACGCACCAAAACACTCGTGCTGCGCGAAGTCCGCAGGCTGAGAAGCACCGCAGCACCTTTCTCCAGGGATTCCTGCAGTTTGCGTTGATCCTCGGGGTCAAATGATTGGTACACAGGGTTTTCTGGCGATCGGATACCTGAAACGAATTCTGACAAGAGCTCTAAATTCACATTGCCATGCAGAGATGCGATGCCTGAACATATACAATCCCGAGCCTGCTTAGCTGCACATGCCCCACATGCGAATTGCAGTTCTGCACTCGAAGATTGAGGAGCACTGCAAATGCGACAGCGAACAAGGGCATCATTGTACAAGAAGCGCTCATATCTGCTTGTTGGGGTTTTTGCACCAACTAACAGTGAAGATATGACATTCATCTGAAGCGTAACTTTGCCACCACGTCTGCACCCGGAGCGCCTTGCCGTTCTCCTCGCAGCACGGCGGCGACCTGAAGTTCGCTGGCCGAAATGGAGCTGAGGCGCGTTAATCCACGATGGTTTTCCCTCTGGGCGCGGCCCCGAGGCCCGCCAGGGAGTCCCAAGAAAGGCGAAGAGATTTCCCAGAGGCTCAGGAGGACCGAAGAGGTTTCCCCAGAAAGGCCCTCAGAGGCCCGTCAGAACCCCTCAGGAGGCTCCGAAGGAGCTCCTCAGAACCCCGAAGCGGCCCGAGGAGGCCGTTCAGACGCCCGCGCCCGAGCACGGAAGCAAGCGCCAGCGATGCTACAACATGGGCCGGCGGAATGAGCGAAGCGAATGAATAGTTGCACTCCTCGGAGTGGCCAAATCTTTCTTCTCCATGCCAGGGACCAGCGCGGGTCGATGCCTTTTGGTCACGGATTTTTTTTTTTGAAGACCAATTTCTTGACCATCGCTAGTTGGCTAAAAGAACCGTAAATGACTAGGCAGGCTGAGAAGCACCGCGGGGCGTGGCGAAGCAGCGCATTCAATATACAGAACAGAAAAGTGGGTTGAGCATACAGAGGCGCGGACAACGAAATGGATGATGAATGGATGATTATGAAGGGGCCTGGACAATGACGTAGATGATGATGAGCTGAAAGCATAGCTGGCAGCATGAGGGCCCGGATGACCTGAGCGAAGGCATAGCTGAAGTACAGCATTTCTGAAAGCATAGCAGGAAGGTCCTGGTACGAGACACTGGTATCAACGCACGGAGCTCGAATGGATGTATGTCCAAACGGGACACTGCCATCAACGCACGGAGTTTGAAGGGGTGCATGTCCAAACGAGACACTGCTATCAACGCACGGAACTTGAATGGATGTATGTCCAAGCGAGACACTGCTATCATCGCACGGAGCTCGAATGGGCGCATGTCCAAACGAAACACTGCTATCAACGCACAGAACTTGAATGGATGTACCTCCAAACGAAACACTGCTATCAAAGCACGGAGCTCGAATGGATGCATGTCCAAACGAGACACTGGCATCAACGCACGGATGCTTGAATGGGTGTACGTCCAAACGAGACACTGCTATCAACGCACGGAACTTGAATGGATGCATGGTCAAACAAGACACTGCTAGCAACGCACACACTGCTATCAACGCACAGAGCTTGACACTACATAGTTGCATCACAGACTCGCAGGACAGTAGGACTCGCAGGACGACATTGACATCCTGGGGACCGACCTTGCTGGGGACATCGACCTTGCTTTCCTGGCGGTAGTCTGGCGAGATCTGCTGGTTGTTGGAGGAAGTAAATGCGATCGGGGCCCACGGCTTTATACAATTGCGTTTAGTTATGCAAGCGGCTCCGCCGACCCGCCCCTCAGGCGCCCGCTTCGGCAAGGCGCGACTCAAAGGCTGGTCATTGACGTTCATTGCCCACCCACGAGCACCACGCCGGCGCGCAGCAGGCATCACCCTCACCATCGTCATCATCTGCCTCGTTAACATCATGACGACTGCTGCGCTGGCTCGAGCGTGCCCCCGCTGCTCGCCCCGACTTGCGCCGCGGCGGCGTCTGGTTGCGAAGCACCGCGGCAGGCTGAGAAGCACCGCGGGGCGTGGTGAAGCAGCGCATTCAATATACAGAACAGAAAAGTGGGTTGAGCATGCAGAAGCACGGACAACGAAATGGATGATGAATGGATAATTATGAAGGGGCCTGGACAATGACGTGGATGATGATGAGCTGAAAGCATAGCTGGCAGCATGAGGGCCCTGATGGCCTGAGCGAAGGCATAGCTGCAGTACAGCATTTCTGAAAACATAGCAGGAAGGTCCTGGTACGAGACACTGCTATCAACGCACGGAGCTCGAATGGATGCATGTCCAAACGGGACACAGCTATCAACGCACGGAGCTTGAATGGGTGCATGTCCAAACGAGACACTGCTATCAACGCACGGAACTTGAATGGATGTATGTCCAAGCGAGACACTGCTATCATCGCACGGAGCTCGAATGGGTGCATGTCCAAACGAGACACTGCTATCAACGCACAGAGCTTGAATGGATGTACCTCCAAATGAAACACTGCTATCAACGCACGGAGCTCGAATGGATGCATGTCCAAACGAGACACTGGTATCAACGCACGGATGCTTGAATGGGTGCACGTCCTCACGAGACACTGCTATCAACACACGGAACTTGAATGGATGCATGGTCAAACAAGACACTGCTATCAACGCACACACTGCTATCAACGCACAGAGCTTGACACTACACAGTTGTATCACAGACTCGCAGGACAGTAGGACTCGCAGGACAGTAGGACTGGGCGAGTCCATTGGTGATGATGTGATGATTGACTGTGATGATTGACGTCTGAGCTGTGGTGGCGGACGTCTGCAAAAACCTGCAAAAGCGGCAGGCTGAGCTGTGGTGGCAGGCTGCAAAAGCGGCAACCTGCAAAAGCCTACACTTTGGCAGACGTCTTGGAAGCCTGCAAAAGCGGCAGGCTGAGCTGTGGTGGCAGGCTGCAAAAGCGGCAACCTGCAAAAGCCTACACTTTGGCAGACGTCTTGGAAGCCTGCAAAAGCGGCAGGCTGAGCTGTGGTGGCAGACTGCAAAAGCGGCAGCCTGTAAAAGCATGCACTTTGGCAGACGTCTTGGAAGCCTGCAAAAGCGGCAGGCTGAGCTGTGGTGGCAGGCTGCAAAAGCGGCAGCCTGCAAAAGCATGCACTTTGGCAGACGTCTTGGAAGTCTGCAAAAGCGGCACGCTGAGCTGTGGTGGCAGGCTGCAAAAGCGGCAGCCTGCAAAAGCCTGCACTTTGGCAGACGCCTTGGAAGCCTGCAAAAGCGGCAGGCTGAGCTGTGGTGGCAGGCTGCAAAAGCGGCAGCCTGCAAAAGCATGCACTTTGGCAGACGTCTTGGAAGTCTGCAAAAGCGGCACGCTGAGCTGTGGTGGCAGGCTGCAAAAGCGGCAGCCTGCAAAAGCCTGGCAGACGTCTTGGAAGTCAAAAGCGGCACGCTGAGCTGTGGTGGCAGGCTGCAAAAGCGGCAGCCTGCAAAAGCCTGCACTTTGGCAGACGCTTGGAACTGAGGAGCGGCGTGCGAAGCGGAGAGCCTGCGAAACCTGGAGGCTGAAAACTCGCAGGCTGAGACTCGCAGAAACCCGCAGGCTGAAAAGAGTCCTACTACTCGCAGAAAAGCACCGCAGAAAGAGTCTAGCGAAAAGCACCGCAGGCTGAGAAGCACCGCGGGCACACGGGCTTGGAAACCTCACCTCTCCCGCTCGTCTTGCAGGAAGTCGCGCCAATCCGGCGGCTGCCAAGAGTCGATGATGCGCCGAGACCCACCGCCCGTGCTGCCGCCGATGCCCAGGTAATCCCCTCCCGCAGTACGGAGGCGGCCGTGTCCTAGCGCCGCAATCGCCTGGTTCCGGTTGACTCGCAACTCGCCGCTGTCCCACTTCCGAAGCACGTCCAACTGCTTGCGCGTGAGAGTGGGAAGCTCCTGGCCCTGGTCGGCAGGCTGAGTAGCACCGCCACGTAAGAGCTCTTGCCGATAGCGGGCGAGCCGCTCACCCTCGTTGTAGCGCGAGATCGCTTCAGCCTTGTCGCGGCGGAGGCGGCGGCGCTCTTCCTCCATGACTTCGTCGCGCGCAGGTGGCTCACTGGGTTCGGCGCGCAGGGCTTGGGTGGGCATGTCAACGTCGAAGCGGCCGGAGAAAGCCAGCACCTCCCAGATCTGTTTTGTGCCGCACACACGTTGCAGTTGCCGGCACCACCGCTTACGCTTCTGCTCTCTGAGGAACTTAGCGAGACTCCCTTGGCCTGCCCCTTGGGGCTGGCCACCTTGTGGTGGAGTCTTGCCTTTCGCCTTCCCCTTCTCGCCTTTTCCCGCGGACTGAGAAGCTCCGCGAAAACCTTGTGGTGGAGTCTTGCCTTTCGCTTTCCCCTTTTCGCCTTTTCCCGCAGGCTGAGAAGCTCCGCTAGAACCTTGTGGTGGAGTCTTGCCTTTCGCTTTCCCCTTCTCGCCATCTCGTTCCTGTAGCGCCAGCTGGTGTTCGGACTGCTCGCACTCTGTGCGAACACGTCTTACGAGTTCCCCGCGCTCAGCGTCGGTGAGGACGCGCCGCAAGTCGGCGATGTTTTTGCTCCGCAGAAACGCATGGCGAACCTTAAGGACAGACACAATGGCTCGGACAGTCTCCGCCTGCGACGCGAAGGCGGTGTCACAGTCCGAGCCAGGCTGAGAAGCACCAGCTGGATCTTTGTCCGCAGGCCGCGTGGACGTCCTCTTCTTGAACAGCAAGAGGCTGAGGTGGTGGAGGAGTTTCGGGTCGTAGGCCGCGTCATACCTCTGGCCCCAATACTCCCTCAACTCCTTGCGCAGCTCATGCGCGCGCCGACTAACTTCATCCTCGGGCTCGTCGCAGGCTGCGGCGTCGGCCGGCGACGTCGGCGAAAGCGGCGCATGCACAGGAGCGGGGCTCGGGGACCGGGACCAGTGCACCGAGGAGCCCTCCACCTCGGTCTCTGAGCCGGCGTCGGCGTCAGGCAATCCTCCGAACGCAATCTTCCGCCTCATTGTCTCCCCAGGCTGAGAAGCATCAGGGACGGTGAGCACGACCGCAACAGCATCGCGCGCGTCGTTTCGCATGCCACGGTCCATGTAGGAGGCGCCAACAGCGACGGGCTGGAAACGCGCGACTGCTCCGCAGACTGCCACGTTGTCGCCTTCGCGGTCCGCCGGGGGGGCGAAGACTTCCCATAACGCCTCGTCGTCAGCGTGGCGTTGGAAAGCTTCACGCGCCTCCTGCGCGGTCAAGTTGTTGTCGCCGACTACGAGGCGCACGACCGGCGTGCCCGGCTCCCCAGTACTGAGAAGCACGGCGATCCCGTCCAAGTGGAGTCGGAGCAGCCGAACTGCTTTCTGTCGCGTGTGAATGCTGGGAGGGTTGCTTCCGCAAACGATGTGCATGTTTCCGACGACCACGTGAACTTTGTCATGGCCTCCTGTCTGCACATTGAACCGTGAGATCACTGCGTCCACTTGTCGCGCGATGGGGACGTGGTAGATGTATGTGTCCTCGCGCAGGGACACGTCAGCAGGCTGAGAAGCACCGCCGAAGCCCCATAGGCTCAAGTAGTTGGCGACCTCGCAGAAGCCGATGCTGTCGCCGAACGGCTTGGTCAGGATGTCTTTCACGTTGATGGATGCTCGACTCAAGCCTTGACGAAACGCACCGACCTCGCACCCAAAGAAAAGGTCAGCATCGACTTCCTCGACTATCTTGGCGCAAATCCGCCCGAAGTTGGAGCAGTGAGTCTTGGAGTTCTTCCCCATCATCATGCTCTGCTCGAACCCGAAGTTAAAAGTGGCGACCGTAAAAGACGCAGGTTGAGGATCACAGCGAGCAGGCGCGGCCGCAGGCGTGTGTCGGTCTTCCTCCGCAGGCTGAGAAGCAGCGCGAGAAGCCGAGGCTGCAGGCCGGTAAGGATAGGGCCAAGGGAGGGCCATTGCAATGTAGTCCGCGGAGGAACGGCCGGTTCCGTCGGAAAGATTGCAATGTGGGAAGCACGTCCTGAACCAAAGACGGCTGTCAAGACAATGACGATGACGATGACGATGACGATGCTGATGCTGATGCTGATGATGATGATGGCGATGATGACGATTTTGATGATGATGATTATGATGATGCTGTTGCTGCTGGTGATGAT